GGAAAAGGTACGGTAGCATGAGGCGGCTGAGGGCAGCAGTGGCAGGGGAGGAGTAGCATGCAACTACAGCGTCGTACAAAGACTGAGCAGTCTTGTACTGGCCAAAGTGCGCGCGCTCAGCAGGCGGCAGGTGACTATGAACAGCAAGACGAGCAACAGCGTCACGAGTGGTCCACTGCGAGCGAACAGTACTGTCAGCAGTGGCAGCAGGAGCAGTGGAAACACCGGACGTGTGATCGAAGAGGGACACCCCATCCCTAGAATCACACTGAAGGAAGAGCTGTAGGTCGTCAACCCACACGTCAAAATCAACTACACGTCCCTCAGCATCAAAGGTGAGAACGGTAGGACTAGCCATAGCAGCAGTAGGAGCAGTAGCAAGAGTAGCAGCAGTAGCAGCAGTAGAAACAATAGCAGCAGGGCAGTGCAAGGCAGTGCTGCTCAGTAGGGCAGTGCGGTTCGGTGGGGGCGGCGCGGCTCTGCTGCAGCAGGGGCCACTTCAGCAGGGGAGAGGCCGCAGGCAGGGGCGACGTCGCGAGCAGGGGCGACGCCGCGAGCAGGGGCGACGCCGTGGGCAGGGGCGACGCCGCGGGCTGGGGCGACGCCGTGGGCTGGGGCGACGCCGCGGGCAGGGGCGACGCCGCTAGCAGGGGCGACGCCGCGGGCAGGGGCCACTGAGGGGCCGCGAAGGGTCCGAAAAGGGGCGGTGAAGGGGCCGATAAGGGGCCGTGAAGGGGCCGTAGGGGGCCGCGAAGGGGCCGTTAGGGGGCCGCGAATGGGCCGTGAAGGGGCCGCTAGGGGGGGCCGCGAAGGGGCCGATAAGGGGCCGATAGGGGGCCGCGAAGGGGCCGCTAAGGGGCCGCGAAGGGGCCGATACGGGGCCGCGAAGGGGCCATAGGGGGCCGCGAAGGGGCCGTTAGGGGGCCGCGAAGGGGCCGCTAAGGGGCCGCGAAGGGGCCGCTAAGGGGCCGCTAAGGGGCCGCGTAGGGGCCGCGAAGGCGTAGGTCAGGGCAGTGCGCGAAGCGCGCTTCGGGCAGGTAGAAAAAAAAAAAAAAAAAAAAACGTGGTGGGCCCTTAGGAAGAAACAGTCCCACTAGGGAACCTGCTCTATACCATGTGAGAATTAACGAGAAGGATGATTGAACTAGGAAACAAGTGGGGTACAAGTAGAAAACACAAAAGTGTTGTACCCTCTAAGGACTACCCCACTACAGCCTAAACAGACTATAGCATATATAAGTTTGACACTTATACCATTCATCTCATTAACCTTTTTGACCGTCAGGTTCCAGTTGGTGAAGTTCTCCTGCCTGGAGGTGACGTAGTGATCATGGTACCGGGACATGTGCTGACCGCTGCAGAGCTCACAGGTAAGTGACGGGAAGTGGAGCAGGTAACGCCTCCCTGTCGACGGATCCTCCACAAAGTACCTCCAACGGTACTCATCAGCGGCGTCGGGGACGATCGAGCCGCGAATACGGTCAGTATCCAGCCCAGTGACTGGGTCAACAGTACGGTGGAAGCCGAAGCCACTGGCGAACGCGCTCCTGCCACACTTAACCAGCTTCGACACCACCAGCAGGTGACGGATTAACTCAGCAGTGATCTCAGCCGGCACCCCCTTGACCACAACTTCCTTCGCCGTCGGGTTCAGTATGCGCTCACGAAGAAAACACGCGTCTTCAGGGTGCTGCCAGGTGAGGTCGATGATGTCGCCGTTCACACATTCGTGGCTGATGATCTGACTCCAGACGAAGTTCGCGTCTCTGACATGGTTGAAGGTAACTTGAAGGCGACCATAACGCATGCCAGAGAAATAGGTCGCCGTGAGCTCTTGGTAAGTCGTCGTCTGCAGCACATCTGGAGACAGTTGTTCTTTCCAGTCGTCCAATAAGGCTGCCACTGTTGCAGCAGTTCGCGTGGCTTCAGCCTTCCTGAGAATCGGCACCAGCATGAGAATCTTTTTAAAGCAATGATACTGTTGAGCGAATCGGGTTCCAGGTGCTCGTCTGAGTCGTCACTCAGGTAACCATCGTCGTCGTCGTCAGGAGCCAGGTCCGACGAAGCCTCCTCGACACCTTGCGCATCAGCATCTGCGTCAGTCTCTTCACCGACAGCCTTGTGGTCCTTATCGGTGTTCTCGTTAACACCGTCAGCACCACCCACGCCTGATCCATCGGCGTGCTCAGCATTGTTCTGCAGATCCAGCAAGTCCTCGAAAGGTCCAAGCACAGCAGCGGACTTTGAAGAAGAAGGTTCACTCCCTTTGTCAGCAGCATTCTTCATAGGTACGTCAGCCACCTCGTTCTCCTGATCAGTGTTGACTGACTTCTTGCCGGACTTGTTGTTGCGACCCTTCCCCATAGTGCTATGATGAGAAAAGCTTGACAGCCCGTCGAAGGCTGAGAAGCAAGCTGGACTGGGCACACTTATCGGAAATGTTGATAGTTTATATCTCCTGTGCTTGAAAGCGAAACGCTGCAGGTCAAGGCCCGAAGGCGAGAACATATCCATAGGGATCGACAGCCAGCTTGGAAAGCTGGTAACCTTGAGCTTCGGAGGACCCTGGAAGTTGGAAGCATAGGAGGTGACGTGAGTTGGTGACAATGCCAAGCGCAAAGTGCGATGGTCTCCATGGAGTAGCTTGTAACCTTGGTAATAGTCATGTGTAATAGTTCGCCTTGATGTAGTTTGAAACAGTGCCGATAGCCTGGAACTCAAAAAGCTGGTGTTTAGGTTCCCGTAATGAATGCTAAAAGAGCACCATTGTAAAGAGATTAAAGCCGCGCATCGACTGAATGCTTCAATGTCAGAATCAGGCAAGAAATTGTAACACATTGACGTTGTTAAAACTCTCCGCCATGGCCATGGCGGCATTGTCGATTGCATTGCAGGTCACACTGTTATGTGAGACACTAGTAATTCTGTGGAAGTTTAGTTGATTTCAATTAACATAAAGAAACATGTATAGAGTGTGGAAGTGCAGGCCAACCCGAAACTCGCTTCCAGCAGCATTATTGCCGAGCCGACTTTATGGAGACCCGTTGTAGCAGGGTAAACCCCGAAGCATACCCACTTTTGCGAGCACGTGGAGAATTATATGGAGCAACATTTGGACTGGACACCAATGGGGATGGTCGCCGCAGTGGTACTGGAGTTGACTCGCCAATCAAATGCCTTCCTGCCCGTATTCAGCAGTCTTTAGAGGTGTGGTGTGCGGTCTATCAATCTGGCGTAAGCCGTAACCGTGAAGGGGGAGTGAGATTTGGGCGACAGTGCTGACGTGTGTCGGGGGAGGGCGGAAGAGGAGGGGTGAATTTCAGGACTACATGTGTTGCAACTACTACACCTTGTTCTCGATTATTTCACAGGGGTTAAACGCACAGCGCGACTCGGGATCGCCAGCGACCTGACGACCATGCCTAGGTGGCAGCGGTTGGTGGTGTTCCAGCTTCCTTGGAAGCAGGAACGCTTTTCGGACCTAAGTGTGTTGGGGGGGTGAATCTGTTGAGTCCGAAAGCTGAGCAAGGGGAAGGAACTTCTCCCACAAATAAGATGAAGCGTGATTGGTGCAATGTGAGAATGAAACAATTTTTTGACTGGGGCATTTTCCAGTGAGGATGTCTTGAGTGGGGCATTTTCCAGGCTGGCGCGCGCTGTACACTCGCACTTTACAGTCAGCATCCAAGTCCAGTAATCTGGCGTGTGAAATTACCGCGCGGCTTTTTTTCCCCTTTAATTTGACACCTCGCCCGCGCGGAACGTAGACGCGACTCGGCATCAAGGCCGTGAAATTATCGAGAACAAGGTGTACTCCGTTTGGCCCATCCCTCAAATCTCCATGGCTAGTGCTGTCTCCTTTCATGTCTCAACTCTAGGGTGGTTTTCCCTAAATCCAGAACACTTCCTGCTCGACTCTGCAAATATTGGAAACTGGCCTATTACTAGAATAAATCCGTATCATACACTGGAGTCATCTTCAAACATTTATGGTGTTTCGTGTGCAGCTAGAGCATGAGCATCGATGTCCCCCTCCATACCCCCGTTACTTCCCGATTGCTGGAACGCGTTCCCTCGCCCTCCGCGAATCAGACGGCGGGATTGGCGATAGGGGAGGGGATTCCCCCAGAGGCGAGGCGAGCCGAGTCGAGCATTTAGACGGCCTGGCGAGTTGTCGGGTTACAGTAATTCACTGTGCGCGTTTATCTGCAATAAACAGGCACGTGCGACGGGGAGCTTTGTCGTAGCGCACGGTACGGCGCAATGGTTCATCGCCAACTTGATCGCACTACGCCGGGGATGCGGCAAAAGCACAGATGCTTGCTGATGCCAATGCCAAGCCAACACATGGGTATCCCATAATGCAAGGCGGCAGAGCCAACGAGTCAATTGTTTTTTATCTGATGCAAGCAAGGCCCCATGGAGGTATCGCGTTCCATTGAAAGCATGGCCTCGCACATCTTCCATGTGAGCGATCACAATTCATTTGGCTCCTCGCCGGGATCTGATAGATTGTCAGCCATTTTAGCGGAGAGTGTGAAACGAGTCGGACGGATAGCGATAGAACACACGGCGGTAAGGGTGCGGAAGTGGGGCGCATTATTACCGTACGAATTCACATGCTCCAATAGCTTCCCCCTAGTCACTGAGACATTCGCGGGGGGTCGCACTAGGATAACGACATGGAGTGCGAGCAGCGCACGGCGCGGCACGACAGCTGGCGAAATGATCCAAGCTACTCGTCGAGCGACGACGACTCGACGAACGAGACAACAGACAATGGGGGCTCGGGAAACCTTCCGCGGAACGCGGGATGGCAGCGCGCGTGCGCCGGCAACGGAGGCGGGCCGGGCGTGCGGGAGCGAGAGTGCAAGGGAGGGCGGATTCAGCGGGGGAGCCAAGGCTCTCAATCCCCGCAAGCCGCCGCTACCGCGACCGGCGCTGACGGCGTCTCACGTTCCGCGAACGCCGCCGCGCCGCCGCTGCCCCACCTGGACGCGATGGGCGGCGCGGCGAGCCGGCACGTGCGCGTGGTGGAGGACGCGGCGCTGTGGTACGCGTGCGCGGGGCCGCTGGTGACGGTGCCGGCCGTGGGGTCGCTCGTGGTGTACTTCCCGCAGGGCCACGTGGAGCAACAGCAGCGCCTCGCGCAGGTACAGCCCGTGCCGCCATTGCAGCGTGCTGGGTCGTCACGACTCGACCATTGAGTGACGTCGCCCAGCACTGAGTCGAGCATTGCGCGCGGCGATGTCTGTGCTTCACATCCGCCGCGCTTCACGGGCGGCGTCCGCCTCTCCGCCTCCTCTGAGGAGTTTGCCCCCGTCCCCTCCACGCTCTCTCCTTGCTTTCCCGGTCTTAGTTCACGTTGCCCCTTCCCTCCCCCAACTACCCCCTCCCCCGCAGCGCGACCCACCGCCGCCGACCGAATCGGAGTCGCCGCCCCGCTCGCCGCCGTCGGGGCTGTCGTCGCCAATCGCCATCTCCACGTCAGAATCGCAGTCGCAGTCGCAGTCGCGCAACAGCGGCGATGACTCGCCAAGCCCGTCGCACGGGTTGAGCCAATCGCCCAGCCAATCAGACTTGAGCGGCTGCACTCTCCCCAGAGGCCGCGCATCCGCTTCCCCCCCTTCCGCCGGCCAATGCGCGCAAAGCAGCGGCAGTCCTGGCTGGCAAGGCGGAAGCGGTGGGGTAAGCGGCACGTCGCGGGGAGCGGACAGCGCGAGCGCAACGGAGAGCGCGCAGGCGAAGAGGCGACAGCAGCTGCCGCCCAGCCACATCTTCTGCCGCCTGACGGCCGTGGCGCTTCAGGTACCGCACTGACGCGCGACGCGCCACTCGCGGTAGACTGCGCTGCGATGTGACGGAGCACTCTCGGCGCCCGCGTCCACGGCCAACGCCTTTCCCGCCTCAGTTACTTACCGCGTTTTCGCCCTCCCAGCCGGATGGCACCAGCAGATGCCACAATGCATGCACACGTGCTCCCACCCCCTATCATCATTCGGATTAACCCAATTCTCTCCGCCTCCCCCCCCCCCGTCCGCTGCCCGTTCCTCTCCCCCGTGCACAGGCGGACGAGCGCACGCACGAGCTGATGGTGCGCTTCGAGCTGCAACCCGTAGACGAGGTGAGCTGCGCGCGGGGATGAGGTAAGGTGCGCGCGTGCTCAGCCCTTGGGTACTCGTTTCGCTATTCCCCTGCCCCCTACCGCCTCTCTCTTCCCTGTGCGCCACCCCTTCTTCCGCGCTGTCCGCTGCCCCGCCCTCCACCGCCCGCCTTTCACCCCCCTTTTTGCGTCCGCCCGCGTGTTCTTCCGCGCGTGCCTGTGCAGGCGGAAGCAGTGAGGGCGCAGGCAGCCGCCAGCCAGGAGGCGCGCAAGGCAGGCGCAGCGGGGAGGAGACGGGGGCGCGAGGGGGAGAAGGCGGACGCGCAAGAGGAGCAGAACGAGGAGGGCAGCATGGACACAGACGGCGGGCGCACGCAGGCAGCGCGCCCGGGGGGGCTGCCGGCGCAGGCGGGGGTGCACACGCACATGGGCGCGCACGCGCGGCTGCACATGTGCTGCAAGCGCCTCTCCACCAGTGACGCCGCGCCCCATGGCGGCTTCTTCATCCCGCGCAAGGCCGCCGAGTCCCTCTTCCCCGCCCTCGTAAGCCCTCCACCCGCGCCCCCGCCCCTGCCCCTCCGCCGCGCCTATGCTGCTCGCCGCACTCCTCGCCCGTTGCTTGCACCTTGGAGCACCATGGCGCACGGCGCTCCGGTGCATCTTCTTCTTCTCATCTGTGTTTCGTCCTGCATGATGTTATGGCATGGCATGGCATGGCATGACATGACATGGCATGACATGGCATGGCGTGTGCCACGGCAGGACGCCAATGAGGAGGGGCCATGTCAGCAGCTGGTGGCGTCAGACGTGTTCGGGCGCGAGTGGAACTTCCGCCACGTGTACCGCGGGTCACCGCGCCGCCATCTGCTCACGGCGGGGTGGAGCGCCCTCTGCGCGTCCTGGGGGCTCGCTGCCTCCGACCGCATCATCTTCCTCAGGTGCCCGCCCTGCTTACCGCTCGCAACCTCACCACACATTCTTCCTCACCCTGCTTCTTAGCAGCCACACGCCTCTGTTCGCCCTTCCCAGCCTCACGCTGCTCTGCTCTGTCTCCCCCTGCCCTCTCGTTTTTTTGCCCCTTCCCCAACTGGCCCCTCACTGCGGTGCTGGCAGGGCGGGCAACGGGGCGCTGAAGGTGGGCGCACGGCGCAGTGAGGCCGTGCTGGCAGCGCAGCACCGGCGGCAGAGGGAGCGGGAGAGAGGGCTAGGGGCAACAGACTCTGCAAGCAGTGCGGGCGCAGCCAAGGAGGGGCCGAGCACCACGGGTGCTGCGACGACAGTGGCAGCGAGTGAGGTGTTGAAGTGGGTGGCGCACTGCCACGGCGTCAAGAGGGCCTTCTCTGTCGTTTACCACCCCTGGTAAACCCCCCTCCCTCCTCCCTCCTCCCTCCTCCCACCTCCCTCCTCACACCTGCCGCCTTCCCACCTGCCGCATCCCGCCCTGCTCCCGTCCCCTTGCTCCCCTTCCTCTGCTTGACTTCACTCCCTTGCTTCTCTCCCCTGCCCACCCTTTCCCGTCTCTACCCGTCCCTACTCCCCTCAACCTCCTCGCCACGTCCCCATTGCGCTCGGCCCCCACAACCCATGTCACTCACTCCCTCCACACACCACCACTCCCTCTCCCCTCCATCATCACGACCCCCTCTCACCGCCCCTTCTCTGCGCGTCCCCCTGTGCTCCGCCCATGCCCCATCCCCCAGCGTGGCATCAACGCCAGCGCCCTTCGTGCTGCCCCTCGGCACCTTCTGTGCGGCGCTGCGGCTGAAGCAGCGGCTGACAGCAGCCAGTGAGGTGCGCATGGCGTTTGAGACGGACGAGCTGTCCACGCACAGGCTGCGCGGCACCGTCACCGCGGTGCACAGGGCGGCCAGCGGCGTGTGGCCGACCTCCCAGTGGCGCAGTGTGCGCGTGCGCTGGTTCGACTGCGACCCCTCCCTGCCCCGCCCCCCCCTCGTCTCCCCCTGGCACCTCGACGACTCGCTCCCCTCCGCCCCCCGCGCCTCCCCCTCTTCCTCCTCCCTCTCCGCGCCCATGTCCCTCTCCCTCTCCACCACCTCCTCCCTCACTGCCTCCGCCCCTTTCCCCTCCTCCTCCTTCCCCTCCTCCTCCTCCTCCCCCTCCCCCCGACCCCTTGTCTCCCCTCGTCCGCCCTCCTCCCCCCGTGACCCCCGACCCTCCCGCTCCAGCTTCAGGGACTCGGCGTTCCCCCCTCTCTCCGCCTCTCCGCCGCTCCACACCTCCCCGTCTGCCCTCATGCCCCCACCTCCTTCCCCCACCACGCCCAGAAGCGCCTCCTATGCCCCGCACCTCCCCTCCGCGCCCAACGCCCCCACGCCTCTGCGCCTGCCCCCCTCCGCGTCCCCTTGCCCGTCCCCCGGTGGTGGGAGGCGCATCAGCCTGGCGGAGTGGCGGCAGTGGCGCGCGCTCGTGAGGCAGACCCCCCCCGACCACCCCTTCCCGCTGCCCCTGCACCTCCCTGCCAGGAGGACGGGCAGGGGCGGGGAGGGCGAGGGTGGGGCTCGGGAGGGAGGGCAGGAGGGGCGCGAGGGAGGAGTGGAGGAGGAGAGATTGGAATGTGGAGGGCGGCAGCGAGAGGGGCATGGGGGCGTGTGGGGTGCCGGTGAGCGCCCTGTGTCGCCACACAAGGCGGGCGTGTCCGCACCAGCAGAGCCGGCAGGCGGAGCATCAGAGGCACCGGCAACATCAGAGGCATCACAGGAATGTGCGTCTGTCGCCCCACCACCGCCTCATAGGCAGCAGCAGCAGCAGCAGCAGCAGCAGCAGCAGCAGCAGCAGCAGCAGCAGCAGCAGCAGCAGCAGCAGCAGCGGGTGGTTGTTACCCGCCCGCTCGCCCGGTCCATCGCCCCCAACATGGCTGCTCTGCTGCACCTCTCCCACTCCCGCTCTCGCTCCCTCTCACTCCCCCCCACACCCTCACACTCGCACTCGCATTCGGACATGAGCAGCAGCCGCAGTGAGGGTGGAAGGCCAGCAACCCCACGCCCCACCACACGCCTGCCGCCCGCTGCACCACAACAGGCCGGAAGTGGCGTCGCAGTAGGCAGTGGGTCGTGCGGTGTGCTCCCACCCGCCAATGGCGTGCTGCCACCTGGCAGCGCGGTGCGCAAGCGAGTGCGTTTCCAGTGCGACCTCGACCCGCCTGCGCCCTCCCCTCCTCCCCACTCCACGCAGCCGCCCCATACGCCTTCCCAACCCCCCCTCCGCCCCCTCCCCACGCCCCCCTCCCACGCCGCGCCCCCTCCCGGCGCCCCTCGGCCTGCCAAGCTCTCTCTCGCCTCGCTGCTTCCACTCACTGACTGCCACGTGGCAGCTGACTCAGCAGAGCAGCGGCCAGGGAAGAAGGCAAGGAGTGCCGTCCGTTGTGCGAGCTGGCAGAGTGGTGACGTGGAGGGGCGAGTGGAGGAGGGTGACTTGGCGTGTGAGGAGCAAGAGATGCGTGATGAGGAGTGTGGGAAGGGAGGCGAGGAGGAGGAAATGGTTGAGGCGGAGGGCAGAGAAGACGAGGAGGGAAGAGATGGGGAGGAGAGGGGGAAGGGAGAGGAGCAAAAGGCGGAGAGAATGGAGGGAGAGAAGGCAGAGGAAGGAGCAGAGGAGGGCGTGCCGGGCGGGCAGAGCCACTCATCGTTTGAAGTAGCGGCGGCATCCCTGCTGGTGCTCAGGCAGGGGGGGCAGCACACGGCGCCTGCAGCAGCAGCAGCGGCAGCAGCGATGGCTCCAGCAACCCCACCAGCTGCATCTCCACCAGCAGTGCCTTCGGGTCTCGCCCTCTCGCTCTCCCCATCACCGCCTGCTCGCCCTCTCTCCATCTCCCATTCCTCAACACTTCACGCTTCAGCTGCCTCAGGTGCCTCAGGTTGGTGCGACCCCCTGGCACTCTCCCTCACTCTCTCTCTCCCTCTCGCCCCACACTCGCCACGTCAATCTCATTCGCCACAGCAAGGGCAGTTGGGGTTAGCTGGGACCGCAGTGGCACACGACAGGCATAGCGAGGCACAACAGGTGGCAGAGCAGCCTGGGGCAGGGAGGGGAGCGGGCGAGTGGGGAACAGCAGGCGCAGTGCGGGAACGGGAGGAGTTGCCTGCAATGCCAAGGCAGGGTGCAGAGGCCACGAGGGGGATGGCTGTGGGCGGCTGTGATGAAGACTTGGCACCGCGCTGCAGTGACGGCCTCGCACCTCCCCCTGCTGCTGCTGCAGCCAGTCCAGCATGTGAGGCATTGCAGCCAAGCTGCCATGCCGCTGGCATTACTGCTGCTGTTGTTGGGCAGTCTCGGCGCATCAAAGTGAGTGATACCTTGATGCATGCATGGATGCATCGCTGTACGGCGCATGGTTGCATGGTTGAGTGGATGCATGCACGTTTGCCGCCCTCTCACACCCACCCATTGTGCTCTTGCTCTTGCTTTCCTTTGCTCCTCTCAGCTGCGGGTGGAGGGCAGCCCGGTGGGGCGCACGGTGGATCTGAGTGGCATCGGCAGCTTCCAATCGCTGTACGCCACGTGTGCAGCCATGCTGCAGCTGCCTCTGCAGCAGCCCGCAGCGGGTGCCGCATGTCCCTGGCAGCTCACCTACACCGACGCCGACGGTGACACGCTGCTCGTCGGGGACGGGCCCTGGAGGTCAGTCCCCTCCCTCCGACCCCTCTCCCTCCCTCTCTCTGCTCCTTGTTGGCGACGGGCCAAGGAGGTCAGCCCACCCTCACTGCACCTCCTTCCTCTCTCTTTCTCACTGCATCTCATCCCTCTCCTCTTGTCCTCTCCCTCTTGTCCTCTCCCTCTTGTCCTCTCCCTCTTGTCCTCTCCCTCTTGTCCTCTCCCTCTTGTCCTCTCCCTCTTGTCCTCTCCCCCTTGTTCTCTCCCCCTTGTTCTCTCCCTCTGGTTCTCTCCCTCTTGTTCTCCCTCTCTCCCTCTCCCCTTCCCTCTGCTGCTCCTGTACTTGCTGCATCTCTGCCTGTTGCTCTTGTCCTGCATCCCTTTTTATCCCTGTGAGCTCCGCACCATGACTGCTGCACTGTACCACTTGCAGAAAGCTGTGCTCATTATCGTCCACCTGGCTGCCTCTCATCTTCTCCCGTGTGTCGCTTGCAGTGAGTTTGTGAGGGATGCACGGAAGTTGAGTGTCATAAGGACGCCCAAGCTCCAGCAATGGGGGTACAGTTGATGATTGCTGCTGCAGGTAGCTGCACAATACAATACGGTATACATGTTATCTGCACGTGTTAGATGAGTACCTGTACCAGTGATCAGATGAGTTAGGTAATTGAGTTTGTACGCTAGGAGATGATTAGATTTATCCGTTCATGCATACTAGAAATTGCAACGAGAATAAATCACGAGTAACATTATTTGCATGAAATAAATCCGATATGAAAGAACATATTCAATGCCCAAGTTTTCAGGACTAGCTATTGAATACAAGCAAGCAGCGAGGAAGAGTATTTGAGTCGAACCCCACATAATACACACCCTGAAGCATCTTAATTCCCAGGGCTTCGAAACACGTCACGCCATTTGAATGCCCTTGTACGACGCAATCGTGGGCAGGTCGTGGCCGTCGTACGCCGTGTACAAGCAGTCAGGCGACAGCACTCCCGACGTGCGGTAGTCCTTCACGTTGCCGTCAAGGAAACCCGCACCGCTCGGTCCATCAGCAGCAATTGGGCGGCCAATCACCTGTGAGAGCGTGTTGTAGTCGAGCGCGCGCTTCTCGCGGCCGTCGCGGTAGGTCTGTCCCATGATGCCGTGGATTTCATCGGTCCTGTAGATGTGCTCGAAGTGCACGTTCAAATGCGCCTCGGCGTCATCCTTGGTCTGCAGCAGCGGGTGAGCCACGCGGAGCTTTACGCCCATCGTCAACAGACCTTCGATCTCCAGGTGGTAGGAGTCAACATCGAAGAAGCCGCGCCCCGCCTTCTCGTACGCCTCGAACGCGAACGTGAGCCCGCCCTTGAGCGAGTACTTCTCTCCCAGCTTCAGCAGCGGCAGCACGTGCCCGTCGTACTCGATCTCCTTCAGGAAGCCCTTGCCGCGCGCCGTCTTCTTGCCGTCGCGCGCCAGCAGGCGGAATGAGTGCTTCTTGCCAGAGGCGTCGGTCCACAGGAAGCCGAGCTCGCGGATCCACGTGCGCACCGCCTTGCCATTCTTGAGGATGGACGCGCCGGTGGTGCGCGTGTCATAGTAGCCGCGCATGCGCATGTTCACGTGCAGGTTGCGGTCCGTCAGCAGGCAGAACGACTGCTCGGGAAGACCGTTGAACTCGAAGCGCGTGCCGTGCGCGCCGCGGAAGTGGGGGTCGTTTTCGCCCTCGCCGCAGGGGTGGCCGACGACGCTGATGTTGGCATTGGAGCGCGTGTATTCCGTGCCGTCAGCCAGCGTTAGCGTGATCGGGGTCGACACACAGCCCGGCGAGAAGCCGGGAGGGTACAGAATGCAGATGCCGCACCCCTCGCACGCGGTGGCGGCAGGCTTGAAGTGCTGCCAGTACGAGCACGTGTTGTTGTCGGTACACGCGTTGCAGCACTGCTCTTCGAGAACAGCATTGCTGTAGCAGTAGGGAAGACCGGCATTTTTGTTATCGTTCTTAGTGACGCTGGTGCAGCGGTAGAACGGGAGGGAGTACTGGCCCATGTAATAGCGAGTACGATTCTGAGTGCTGCAGTTTTTAATGCACAGCTGGTTATCCTCGCACGTGCTGTAAGTCACTCTCCCACTGTCGAGGTCCCCCTGATACCTGTTGTCGTTCCATGTGATGGCGCGCGCCGTAGCAGCGCAAGCAAGAACCAAGACTAACGCAACGGCGAGCCGACCCATTTTTGTTGACTTCGCCCAGCAGGTATTGAGGATGTAGGACTCAGCGATGTAGAATATAAGTAAACTCAGTTATGGCTCTATGCTTCCTAACCTGTAGAACCAAGCAGAACAATGAGATGGTGAGACAGACTGGGCTGGTTTGATCTGGGACCTATGTGTGGCAGAAAGGATTTTGTTGTTCTGTCTCACATCCCGTGCAAGGGCAGGTGCCTCGAGGCAGGTGAAAGAACGATCGCTCGTTGCCACACTGTATGTAGGTCTCGCCTGCTGACAAGCACCTGCGCCGCGACGCCTGGGAGTGGACAGCACTGAAACTCAGGTGAGCATAAATATGTCAGGACAGGGTTACCAGTGACACTGTCGTTTGCGTCGATTTGGTAGTTGGAAAGTTAGCGCGACAGCCTTCCTGAATCAGCAAGGTTACCACTGTTACTACGATCGTGGTTGATCGTCACTGAGCGGGCAAAAGTGAGTAGCGAATTGCCTGCGTCGCAATCGGAGTCTGGGCGAACAGTCCTCAGGGGGGAGTCGAAAAAAACGACCAGCAGGACACCTGAGATACCGACAAATCTCGACGGAACAATGTTGTCAAATCACTGATGGAGAACCATCTCACGTTACCCCAACCACTGTTTACTGCCCCTTGCCAGTGAATTCGCTAGTCCAACAACGTTCGAAATGCAGGACCCACACCGTCATCAGCTTCATGACGGAATGAAGTCAGTGTTGTTCACGCGAGTTCCAACTGTGGTTGTATGCTTCTCTATAATGAATTTCCTACCTTGCAAAGAAGTCTCTGTATTGACAGAATGCTAAAGATGCACCAAAAAGAGGCTAAGAGTTATAACAAGAAAATGCATGCCTAATCAACCAGAAAGGTCACTACCGGGAATTCTTGGGGTATAAACCTTAAAAAACGATGTGTGTGTGGGGTAAAGGCTCTAATGCGGTGTGATGCATCCTCTTTGTTGAGGAAAACGATGAAGCCTGTAAGTTCAGAAAGTCGGATTCGTGCATGAAGCAGTATAAGGGGAGTTCTGTCAAGAATGACAGTGTTGGTTTGACTAAGGTTGGTTGGGGTACATAAACCTAACCCTAACAGTTGTACCCCCTATAACACACATCACTAAGACTACAACATTTGATACACCCCTATAGTCCAAGTGAGGGGTGTAAAGCAAAACCAAAAGTGTACGATCACAAGACCAGTCACGAAGAAACAAAGCTCAGGGTGGATCACAACGTCACCACACACCCCGAGCACAAGCAACAGAGCCACAAGGCTAGTTCAAGAGTTCACAGAGGTATATGTAAAGTGTACAAACAAAGCAAGGAGAGAACTCAAGACTATGCAAGGCGAGAACCTGTGTCAACGAGACCTAACTGTACACAACACCTCTGGTGGTCACAAGGCGGCATGACCTTGGTGAAGATGTTTGTAGTGTTGGTCTCGGACTCAACAAAGTCGAAGCGAGCCTGTCCACGCCTCTGCAACTCTGGCAGAAGAAAGTACCTGACGTTAATGTGCTTCACTCTGCTCTCCAATCGCGGCTCTCGACAAAGGAGAATCGTTGCCTTGTTAACACTGAACAAGGTCGGCGCAGAGCTCGGCCGCTCACCAAGGTCAGTGAGCAAGAATGTCAGCCAGCGCAGCTCCTGTGCAGCCATAGCTCCAGCGTAGATCTCGGCCTCAGCAGTAGAGGTCGAGACCGAGGAGGAACATGTGGACCTCCACGAAACAGCTCCAGAGCCCAGGCTGAAACAGTACCACTGAGTAGACCTGTGCGTCTCAGCGTCGTCAGCGTAAGAAGAGTCACAGTGACCAGTAAGCACGACGTCATGTCTCCCTCTAAGAACCAGCCCCATGCCTGATGTCGACGCTAGGTTCGCCACCCTCACAGCAGCTGTCCAGTGAACTGGACAGTGTCTCCCTGGCGCAACAAAGCGAGCAAGGATGCTGAGAGGGAAGGCAAGGTCCGGGCGAGTACAAGTCATCAGGTACATGAGGCAGCTCACAAGCTCTGCGTAAGGACCACTAGGCTCGAACGGCTCGTCAGGAAAGGGTCCAATGAGTCTGTGGTCAAAGGCAAGAGGTGTGCGCTGTAAAGGAGAGTGCTGAAGCTCGAACCACTAAAGGACCTGCTGCACCATGTGTGACTATGAGAGTGTAATGGTGCAAGCGGCTCTGTCCCTGGTGATCTGCAGGCCAATATAGTGGCGCAGCTCACCAAGGTCAGTGCAAGTGTGTCTCTTCTGCAGTTTGAGCTTCACGTCAGCCAAAGCAACCCTGTCAGCAGTGGCGAAAACCAGATCGTTGACGTAGACTAGTACAATGAACGGTATGGAGCCATGACGAACGAACATCGACGGGTCGTCAGAAGAGCTGGAAACCAAGGTCAGAAAGGGTAGAGCGAAGGGTGTCGTGCCACTCACGAGGAGCCTGACGGAGACTGTAGACCGGTCGCCTAAGCCTCCACTGGGTCCTAGGAGGGAAAGTGCCAGTGAAGGCAGAGGGACGACGCAACCAGAGCTCCTCGTGTAGGCTAACCTGCAGGAAAGCAGTGGAGAAGTCAAGAGAGTGTAACTCGTAGTCTCTCTGTGCTGCTACGTGCAGTAACACCCGAAGAGTGGTCATCTTCAGGGTAGGCGCGAAGGTCTGAAAGAAGTCAACTCCCTCGCGCTGACTGAAACCTCTGGCCACATAGCGCGCCTTGAAGACCGGTGGAGGTCCTGGTGGCTGCTTCACCCTGAAGATCCACATGCCATCGACTACGTTCGCCCCAGGGGGGGGGGGGAACCTCGCCGACGTAGGTGCCTGTGGATCTGTAGGAGGCCATCTCTGAGTCCATGGCAGCTCTCCACTGAGAGGCCCAAGGCCCTGACACTGCCTCAGCGTAAGTGCGAGGAGTCGGTATGTCAAGGGCGTCGGGGTCTCGCTCAGGGGCGAGCAGCATGGCACAGAGATGAGGGGAAGCGGCTGCCAAGAACTCCAGCTCAAACTGCCTGTCCTCTAGGGCGTTACAGCCAAGGGCAGACTCACCCTCGTCGTCCAGAGGACTGGTAGGAGGAGCAGCCACAAGACTGGTGGCGTAGTCAAGGCTGCGAGTAGAGGCAAACTCATTGACTACGGCAGTAAGAGCGGAGACAGAGGACAGAGAAGCACGTGGGTCGGTAACAAGAGAGGCAAGAACACGAGAGAGAACAGGACGGTATGTGCGGTAGTAGTCCGTGACAGGAGTAGAGAGGGAAGCAGTGAGAGCCGACTCAGGAGGAGAAGGAAGTACAGAAGGAGACGAACGAGGTGGACTAGAACAAAACAGGGCAGTATGAAGGTCAGTGAAGGGAACAAGG